CCCCGTTGTAAAAAAACGATGGTGAACTCTTCTTGCATTTGCCAGCGCCGAACCACTTCATAATCGTATATAATGCTGACAGTCTACTCGCCAGGACCGTGATTTGTTTGTGACTAATTTGGTTTCCTTTCATTGAGATAGTACCTAGTATTTTCTCCTTACTATTCCTTTTTGGAATTTCGGAAATGATAGCCACGCTCGAGAATTCCGATGAAAATCGAGGTAATGTTTTTATTGTGTTCCTCTGCGTAATTTACTCAATTGCTGCTCAGTTATTGCCAGTATCGTATTCCACTTGAGGAATATATATATATATATATATATATATATATATATATATGTGACTGCAAGTGAATTTGATTTAAGATCGATTATTTCGCCAGAATTCGATCACTTCATAAATTTATTATTGAAAGCACACCTGACGGTCCATCATGTGTTAGTGCGCCATAAGGCAGCTTGATTCAGTGTATCGATCTGCTCGTTGAACACGAAGTGTGTCGTTGGATCCGACACCTTTGTCTAGGGGGCTCCGCTCGTTTCAGACAATTAAGGAGCTTGAATCGCATGTGATATTTTTTTGTATTTCATGAGGGTAATCACTTAGCAAACCCTTAATTCTTGCCCTTCGTTTGTTAGAAGAGGTCTAGTTTCAAGCTGTGTTTTCTCCCTTGGGATCGTAACGTAAAAGAGACCTTTGCATTTGTTTGACCATGGTGTTTATTGATTGTCTTTACTACTAACATTGAAATCTTGTTGTTAGTCTCTTTTCTTGACTTGACCTGCACTAGGTACAGGTAATTGTGTATATCTACCTGAACATCTTGCTTGCTAGTGGACATCAACAGCTGTGACTGATTGTCTTTCTGTCTCGCGTAATACACTTATCTAGAATTAATCCCTAATACACAAACCCGTGGATCGAAACTTTTGCCCAAGAACGCCTAAGCGAGTCCGTTCACTACTGCGGTTACTGCATGCGCTACTTTGTCCAAGTGCAATTAATATCATTCATTCCGTTTGTATCGTATGTGAATTGGTGTATGGACTGAAATTATCATCAATCTCCTAAAGGTCTATATGAATTTTCGATCTTCCTTTTGACTCTGCTCTCAATATTACAATCTTCATTCTGCTCTTTCATCCAAACGTGCGGCCAAAAGACAGCAACCAAAACGAAAAGTGGTTAACGGCTGTAAAAGCTGGAACTGGAAGGTTCAATATATTAAATACGTAGTGAATCTTTCCTTCAAATGATTGAAACGTGTGTATACCTGAGCATCGGGAGCCATTTCCTATACGCATTTGAAGTTCCACGTTGATGCTGGTCTTCCACCGGCGGCGCTCTGAAGGGGTTGTGATTGATTGCTTCTGCTACCTAGGCGGTTGTTTGACGGTAGCACGGTGGTGACCACATGAACGTCCCAGGCATTGAACAGTACCCAGTGACCTGAAACACCTTTGGCAGTAAACAAAACATTCCAGCGAGGTCGATCAGCTTAATGTACCTGAGTTTCACTTTCTACCTTGCCAGCTGAGCTTTGAATTTGCGGCCCAAGAGCGCCTGCAAAGCGAGGGTTTAAATCGTCCAACTTCATGGAAAAGAGATAGGTGAGCCACAGCGAGCATTTTACCAAAACCTAAGTGAAACGCCGTGTATTTTGGAGTGTCTTGTCGGAATGTTTATTGCGCAAAAGAATTACGAAGAACAAGCTTCAGCGACCGGTCACTTAGTTACCTGCTGTGTCGCCACCATTTCGCATTTGTCACACTGACGGAATTCGCATATGAGATGGAAAGATGACACGAAAGCGCCATCCACAATGAATTCAGAAAGACACTGTCAGCACCACCACCTGGCTTGCCCCGTTAAATGTTGAATGGCAACCCTTTGATTGGCATCTTCCCTCTTTCTGAGAATTGTCTTATACTCAACAAAGGAAGTAAAGCTGAAAAAATGACAAGGTTAATTGGTAATACTGATTTATATGGAAGCGAGCTGATATCGATGGAGCGTTCTACTCTCTCTGTTTTCGTTTGAGATGTTTATGCCCTCACACTGTCCTTGGTTTGCGGACCACTTATCCTTCCACGTTGTGGCCCCGATCTACGTGTGCATTCAGTTTGCGCTCTGGTGTATTTTCCTGTACGACAGCGACTATGTTGATAGTGTCCAGGCGTCGGCTGGATAACCAGGCAACAACGGTAGTGAGTATTGAGCTTATTTTATTTATGTTGACTGCGAAACTTAAATGAATGTAAAAATATTTTGAGCTTGCGTGGTTGCACGTCAGACGCTGCATTTCAGTTGTCAGCATCACCAGATATGAGTCGATTTCGCTTGTTGTGGTCGAAAATTGCACGCTTGTGTAGGCACTAGCTTATCGATACCCCGAGAGATTACGGCTATGTCGCAAACGTACGTTCGTACGAGGAGAGAACGAGGCGATTCACGAAACGGAGGACGACGTGTATTATAAAGACCTGCAGAGCAAGAGAGAGATACAGAGGCGTGAGCAAGCGTGCGGGAAGTGACAGGAAACGCGTGCTGACCAAAGAGGTGGCCTTGGCGTGGTAAAACAATAAGGTGCACAAGAGAAAAGGGTACACGTAGAATGGGAATTCGTTGATCATTACACTTGCGACAGGAAAAACTGCCTGTGTCGCATTATGATTGAATCACATAATAAACGTATTTGACGCGAAAACACAACTGAAGTCCGAGCAGAAAGTCATTCTTAACCAAATAGTATGACTTAGTTGAATTAGCAGAATTATTACCAATGTCTGAAGAATAATAACATGAAATTAAAAAATCAAACTGTAATTGAACACTTGTGATATCCGTTATTAGAGTGCTAAAATTGTCGGACAACATAAAAACATTCTTGTCAGATGATGAGAATGTTTGTTACCATTAATTGCATGAAAGTGCTTACGACTATTGCAATCTAATCTACCTGATGACGTTTAATTACTGGGTACATTGACTTATCAAACTCGTGTAACCCCATAATGCAAGCTTTATTATTATAAATATACCGTTCATAAGTAGTATCAATATTGCAATAAAAATATTCATCCATAGAAGCATAATTACTGAATACGTAGCAGACGGGTGTGAATATCATTATTAGTTCTCCATGCAGGGGAATTGAATCACATACTTCAAATGCAGATGGTAATAAATAGCCTTGTCCAGACGATCAGAAACATGCCTTCCTGTCGAGTGATGGTTTTCGTACTAGATCATTTTATTTATTTGCAATTCATAAACAATACTCCAAGACGACTGGAAACTCCGAATAGCATAATCCACCGGGTATTGAAAGACCTCGTGAATGTATAATATTAGGGGAAGTATAAAGATTTGAAACCAGTTCGATAAGTCTCAAATGAAATGGTACACTCTTCGTTAAACTGCACTCCAGCGAGTCTAAATCTTCGCATTTGACTCAGTCTAAATCAGAGGTCAAGTCACGACCAAAATAAATTGGGTCCGAGCAAGCCTTAATCAAATATGGTCGAATTGCAAATATGCGGTTAGTGGATAAAGTCAACTGCTTAGCATGTATAGGAGGTGAAGAATGTTGGACGAATGAAACATGAAATTGAAGGATTTGGAGAAGCCCTGTGGTGCAGAATCAACACTTGTGCTCGGGATATATGATAGTAGCACTGATTTGGAGTGTCCTACTTTTCTATGACATCATTGTACAACTTGTTTTAATACGCATAATTAGTAACAACACTGCAAACTCTGTTCGCGACTATGCACTTGTTCTCCGAATGTTGCTGAAGTATTGCGCGAAAATCATCCGTTATCGTAATGCACTCTGTAGTGATGAAGATTGTATGAATAAAAAGAGCAACCTTGACCGCATAGCGGGACGATTGACCGTCCCATTCGAGTCCCACCGGGACTCCTCCATTAACCACCGTCCCATTGAAGTCTATTTGAGTGCCGCCGGGGTTGTACGTACTTACTTTTATGTAATACGAAAATTGAACGGAATAAATGACTGGAGTGATAAATTAAATACTGAAAGCAATAAAATTGTCAGTCAGTCAGTTTGCACAAGACAGGAGATGGCCACGGCCAATCGAGCGTCCAGATT